CCTGCCCTAGAAAATAGTCAGAAATGGACTTTAATGGTAAGCCAGGACAGACTGCAAAGATGAAAGACAGTACATGGTAGACAAGCTCACTGATCAGTCACCTTTCTATATGCAATCAGCCCCCTTTTTTTGCTTTTGTCCCTCTGTCTTCCTATGTTTATTCCTCCCAAAGCCACCATGATCACCCCTTACCTCTTCATTGGCACTTCTCTAAATATATACCAATTATTTAAATTTGTGCAATCCCAAAATGCCATTCTTTGCATTCAGAGAACCTTTCCATTGACTCATCTTGGTCTTGACTCATCCTCAACCTCATCCTACAGGGCTAATGGCTCTGCTGGGACAAGGTCTGAGAGGACTCAAGGCGGGGGCTTCCTTTCCCTGATTAGCCTACTTGTGTTCCTTTGCCTGTCACTGGTCATCTCTGCTCCCTTGTGTGTCTGGAGATGGGCTTTGTTTCACATGACATTAAAGTTGCAGAAAGGAAGGAGATTTACTACTGGGTGCAGAAGAGGCAATTAATTTCAGTCCTCTGCTGTGTTTGTATTACAAAGTAAAAGATGCTACTCGTCAAGTCCCTGCCCTTTAGTGGTTCTGCTCAGGTGATACAGTAGCATTACTCATATTATCTTTGGCTTGTTATCAAATTACTATGATCTCCATAATACCTTTCAGTTTGTCCTATTCCTTCTTTTCATTTCAGATATAGGGTTTTCTACTTAAATTGCAAAATAGATTTCCTCCCACGTAAAAGGTAGGAGCAAAGAAAGATTGAATTGTATTACAACAGTGAGTGAAGGGGTCTATCCACAATCATTTTAAAAAGAGGAACTGGCTGAACTAGAAGGACAACTGTGCTTCCAGATGCAAGGGCATTAAACACTCTTCTTCTTCATCCTCTCTTTTTTTCTTTCCGTAGCAGAATTAAATGATGATGCTGTCATTGATGATGTCCTTTCCTTAGTTGAGGGGGGAAAGATTGACTTTTCAGTTAAAATAAAAGAAATGTTACTACGAGGATCTAAAATGGTTGATGTGGAGGATTATATACAGTGGGCAAAGTCTTTGGTTGATGCTCCAGTAGTGATACAGCAACGGGTAAGTACAGCTTCTTCAAAGCTGTGGCTTTTATAGTTTGAAAGTTTTGTTCTAAGATGGAGGTAAGACACCAAGTTTATCATGAACTTTCAGGTATTTTCTCATCTTGAGAGTTTCTTCAGATGCTTACGCTAGTGATGGCCATATAAAAAGGATTCAGAATTGTGGAAAAGTGTGTTTTGCATGGGCTTTTTTTTTTCTACAGCCTTCTCCAATACATACACTTGTTCCAGTTAAGATGAGAGATGCACATTTAAAGAAACAAAATTTGGAAAGAGCAATTGAAGACTACATTACTGAATACAGTGTGTGCAAATGTGAACCCTGCAAAAATGGAGGCACTCTTGTGCTGGTAGATGGAGCCTGTACATGCCTGTGCTCAAGCTATTTTAAGGGAATTGCTTGTCAGATTCCCAAATCAACATTAATTGAAGGTTAGTAAGTACTCTAAATAAACTAAAATGAGTATATTTGTTCTTGACAATATCCTGGCAAAATGAGCCTTCACAAGGACAGAAGAATTTCATAGTACTCCATTATACCTATTGCTGTCAAATCTCATGGGTATAATGGTGTGGAAATAAGTGTAAGTTACTGTGTTCTTCCCATAAAGAGGGTACTCTAATTTAGAGTTCATTGTCCCACATACATTATTGTGTCTGGAATGACATCAAGTTCATTTGAATACACAGGAGCGTTACTGAAGCATGGTGTAGTAGTGGTAAACTGATTTCAGGAAAAAGCAATCTCACCATGTCTTAAACTATTTTGTCTTCAGCCTTCTGCAAAAGTGCTGTGTTTGCAAACACATGATCACATTTCACAATTATTGTGCTAGCTTAATTTTAGGTTGATCTACAAAATGGAAGAGGGAGAAGAATGCAGTTCCACAACTGACAATATAAAAAATTTATTGTATAGTAAATTAATTCTCTGTGGTCGGGTTTTTAAAGCACAGGTGCCCAAAATTGGCCTTAGAACTTGATTCCTAGGATGAAATATTGTTGAAAGCCTGGGGCTCTTAAACAGTGCCACTGACAAGAACATTCTCAAAAGCTAAATCTGTGCTTTGGGTTGTGTGCTGGAGGCTGCAATGGTCTACAGAGTCACCATAACTCAGAATGTAAGAGTTGAATCATGGTCTCCTTGAGAGAGGTGGGTGGACTGATCTTAATATTATGGTGCCTTAGTACCAGTTGTCATCGATGGAGGCTGGAACTGTTGGAGTGCCTGGTCCACCTGCATTAATGGAGAAAGCACTCGAACTCGCCAGTGTAATAATCCTGCACCAGGACCTGGTGGCAGACCATGCCAGGGAGAAAGCATTGAAAAACGGCCCTGTGAAGGAAAAAAATAGCTATGCTCCTCAAAAACAGGTAAACAGCTTCTTTAAATGTGTTATTGAAGGTTATATTAAATGATCAGAAAATACTTGGAGCATTTCAGAGACACAATTGATGAAGTGGTAAGTCCACTTTCATCTTTCATTTAAATCTGTTCTTTGATACAGCTGATCAGCCACCTTGTATCAAATTCAAGAACGGTTAGATTTGTATTTGAATGTCTTGATAAGTAATTTTATACTATAGAACTCAAGATTAGAATGGATTTCTGGATAAGAACAGACTAAAAATGCAATTCCTAAAAAAAGAGATTTCATGTCCAGTCAGACTTCAAGTCAAAAAGTTTATATTTCAGAGAGAGGGGAAAAGATGTATTTTACAGAAAAAAAATATTAAGACAGTTTGGGAAACTGAATTCTCTTCCTTGATAAATAGAATAGTTAAATCTAACAAAGCTAGTGTTCTGGCAGTTTCGGAACTTTTAGCTTAGATAAATTTCTTCACCTGTTGAAAACAAGAAGCTTGTGTGCTGTCGGATGTGACAGTAATAGTTTTCATGCCTGGGAGGAAGTGTTTGGGTTTTCTGCTTAACATGTTGCCATAAGTTCTTTATCTTCTGGAAGTCACAAGAAGAAAACAGGTGGCAAGATAGGAAAAAGACGTTAAATGTTTTCCCACCAAAAGTCCTTGATGAGAATTCTTGCAATATGACCTCGACTTGCATAAAAAATATATAACAGAAGATTTCTTGTATGCCTCCCCTTTCTCAGCTTCAGTACAGTTCAGCTACATCTAATATTTTACTGCAACCTGAAGCATGGCCAGCAAGGCTTAACAGCACTCATGGGCCATCTAGCCATACATAAGGGAATTAAAAAAAAAGGAATTAATCACATTGCCAGGCTACCAGAGCTACTTATTCCATAAAGTGAAAAAGAGAAGACTGAGAAAAGAGCTGGAAAATCAAGAGCAATATAATGAAGACAGGTATAAAAAGTGGAGTAAATTAAATAAAACAGCAAGTGGCAAAGGAGACTACTCCTTCTCACAATGGGCATACCAAAAGTAAATATGCATTTTAAAACTTCAAGAGAAAATAATGGAAGGTTCTTAAACATGTAGGCAATCATGCTCACTTAGGAAGTCTCTGAGGCATCAATTTTTGCAGGATCAGAAAGTATTCTGGAAAATATCATATTTCTGTGTGTTTCCCTACTCCTGGACCTTCCCTAAGTCAGTGCTATTTTCTTAAAGATAGGATATGAAGTCAGTCTTTGCTTGATCCAGTTATTAAAAAAAATTAAAAATAATAATTTAAAAAATCTCATAACCAGCTTAATTTTATTCCTGTACTGTATCATTAACATATTCCTGTTCAGCCATGAGAGCAAACACGATGATAATTATTCATGACACATGCATATTCACATATGTTTCCTGTGGTATGGCATAGTAAAAACTCTGAAAAAGCAATAACCTAAATTTGGCTTCTGATATTTATATGGCTTCAGCCATGTGGAGCACTCACTCTTCAAGCAGAAGTCTGGTAGTTCAGTTTTCTGAAAATCACACAATCACTAATCATACTTCACAGAATTACAGAACCACAGAGTGGGTCAGGTTGGAAGGGATCACAGTTGGTCTTCTGGTCCAACCTCACTGCTCAAGCAGGTCCATCCCAGAGCACATGGCACAGGATTGTCCAGATGGTTCTTCATTAGAACCATTTCACATTACAGTCATATTTGAAACACAGTGAGCCATAAGACCGCAATTTCTCTTAAATTTTAACAAGTATATATGTTGTGGCTACTACCTTCTATCACTGCTTCACTATTCTTCCTTCTTTTTTTAGAAAAAAATAATGGATTTCAAACGAATTCCACCAATCAGTTTCTGCTGTCCAGCTAGATACCCAAGAGCAGTGGAATGGCATGATAAAAGTACCTGCAGCTTCAGTGATCGGTAATCAAAACGAAGTAATACACCAATAAACGTATTAACAGTCATAAGCTGATACACTGGCTGTGGTCCACCTTTTATTCTGGATCCCTTTCCCCACCCACGACATGGGGCGGCCCGGTTCTAGTTCCATTTCCATCTGATGAACCCTTAAAGGAAGGGGAAAGGGAACTCCAGGGGTTTCTTCAGGGTTTTCTTCTGGCCCTGAGCCTGGAGGGGAGAGGTGCTCCCCCCTCCCCCCCCACACGTGGCCCCATGGCCGGCACAGAGACAGGACACCGGGCATGGAGAGGAGGCAAGAGAGTGTTTATTGTTGGGGATGCTACATTTATAGGGTTTAGGAGGAGTCACAGAGTAACCAATTAGAAGTCTCAAGGGGCTTACAGGAACACCCAATCACAGGAAGGGGTTAACAAAGGCCAATGGGAAACACCTCAGGACACCTTCCTAGGACATTCCTGCATGGATAACACTTGTCGTGGGGGGTGCTGGGAAGAAGAAACATGTGTTTGCGAAGAGACTACCAAAAGCCATTTTAAGACATGTTTAAACAACAGTTTCCCCATATAATGCAGGTTTAGTGCTACACTTTTATTTACCTATGGCTCCCATTAGAGCATCTGTCCTCCATCACTGGCATAATGGTGTCCCTTTATCAATGTTTTTTCATAATTCTTTGTGGTATGTTTTCAAACTGATTTTCAAGAATTCAAATCCAGCATAAGTATCAGAAAAATGTATATGACATCCACTGACGGATAGTATATTAGTGAAGAATCTGGGAGAGTCTTCATCTTCAGCAAAATGCCCTTGTGGATTTTACATTTTACATCTAATTCACGCTATGAATCACCAGCCTGTTTATGAAAACATACAGTTTTGCTAGAGTTATTACTCTTACTTCTCTCAACATTTGCTGAACAGTCCAACTTCTATCTTGACTATGGTAGTGAGTCAAAGATATGAAATCAGAGGCACATTACAAAGAGATAGAGGAATTGTTATACTACCATCTATATTTTTAGCAGAACTTCCAAAGGAAACAAGGCTGATCCAATTGTATTGTCATTGCACCTGCCTGTGAAAGTCCCTCAACTATTTTTGTACCTAGCAGACAATTACTGGAAAATTTATTTGAAGGGGGGAGGAAGGATAGTTCTCAAATAGGTTTCATTTGAAAAGGCAGCTAAGCTGAGAAAAAAAAGGAAATTATTGTCCCTGTTGAGCAAAAGATATACATATTAACTTAGCTACACTACTAGACCTCAGAAAAGCTACATGGAAGCAAGGTTTAAGGAAACAGTCAATAACAAAGGTATATGAGGGCTGAGTGGTTTGGAAATACAGCAATAGTAAAAGCCATCAGAACAGTGAGATTGGTCCCCTCCATATTGGCAGTCCAGGTCTGGAAAAATCCAGCAGAACTTTGTTTATCTGCCTACCACCCACCACAAGTGGCTCTGAAGACTCTGAGTACCAAGATCAAACATTAGAACGAAGGAGAGAGAACTGTTTCCCAGGTTCCTATGGTAGGAGAAAATTCAAAAAGTCAAAGTGTGCTGACACCCTATGCTAGAAAGGCAGAACAGAAAAGGTCTCCTCACCATCATTAACAGTTCCTTTCAGACCATGGGAGTGGCAACAGTTTTCCACCTAATTAATAGGCTTCCAGTGGTTCATGTTCCCAAGTGCAAACACAGGATTTTTTTGATGGATGCAGCATACATGCACCTAGCAACCCTTCAGTCTTCCTGGGACATTTCAGAAAGCCTCAGACCTAATACTTGGGCTCTTTAAGACACTGTGAACCTGTAATAAAGCTGCTTTTGGTGGAAGATCCAATGTTACTATCTCACAGTGAGAACAGCAGAAATCTTCATCAAGAGCAGAGCTATCAGGTATCAGGAAATTCCTACCAGACAGAGTGATTCCTAAGGAGCTGGACATAAAAACATTCCTGCTTAAAAAAATACAGAGGATAGGTCTAGGGAAACCCACCACAGTCTAAGATTTAACACTCAGTGTGAATAGACATGGTTCCAAACATCTTTCCACACAATTAGCATAGTTAGTGTTCTCTATCTGATAAACAGATTTTTTTTCTAATAGCAGAATTCTCCCTCTACTGTGATTAAGCCTCTTTCATAAATTGCTCATGTAGCATGCGGAAGCCTTACTGGTCTACTTCCTCCTCTACTCTTTTTGGAAGATCATTCCTGAATACAAATGACTAAAAATGAATATAAATTCAGCTTTAAATGTACTCCTAACCTATTTATACCTGTTTGATTTCAATCCTATATGTTTTGTATAAATAATCATTTTTCTCTGATACTTGCAAACCTTTTCATAACCATTCATCTCCACTTTCTTAAGGTACCCAAGGTAAGCTCTTTCAATGTCCTTTCAGAAGCCAGGAACTCCTTCTAGTCATAATAGAAGACTTCACTTTTACTTGTGTCAGTTTAAATTCATGATCACTCAACATAGTTGACCAGAACAGCACACGAGACTCTAACTGAGCTCTCATCAGTGCTCTACACAAATTCTTTCCCTACATCTCTCAAACATCATTGGCCTAATGTGCACTCGAATTATACACTCTTTTCACATGGGCATGTCATTTTAGTGACTCATTATCTCCCTGGCACAAAGCAAAAAATCCTTTTTTTAGCCCTAAGTATATGACTTTATTGTTAAACTTTGGTTGACTTCTATCACTTCTATACAAAAACTCTTCTTATCCTTCCTGTATAATGACTTGATTGTCCCCAGGACCATTCAGATAACGTTGCTATAGGCCCAGCTCTTGAACCACACTCATGATCCAGGTAATGGATCAGACAGGATTAGTCCCATGACCAATGCCTATCTACTTGCAGAACACTGCAAGTAATCCCAGTAAAACTCAGTAATTCCCTTCCCAGTGCTAAAATGATGCTTCTTTAGCGATCTCCTTATTTACCTTGCAGTCCTTCTGACAGGTTACATCCTCTCCCTGTTCCCATCACTTAAATTTCAACAAAGAACATTGTACAAAATATTCTGTTTAAGTCTAGATGGATCAAGTTAGTTGTATTACTTTTGCCTAAAATGTCAGCTAAACTTCACTCCTCTTCTTCCTTCCTTTACCTCTTTTCTTAAGCCCTCTGTTTTAGTTTTTGGTTTTTTTCTAGATCCAGCTCAATGCAGTTATGACCATATGTCCTTTATTCCTTCAATTTCCGTGCATAGGAAGTCTGCAGCACTGCAGAATTTCAATATCCTGGCAGACCAGGACAACCTTATGTTTCTGGTAGTGTCAATTATGGAGACATGAATAATTTAAAAATAATTGGTAGAAATATAGTTCAGTTTATTAGAGGCATAAAATTACTTCAGATTTTAAACATCTATGAAAGTTTGAACCAGAAGGAGACATGCATGAGGTTGATAAGGGAGTCTAAATACATGAGAATTCAGGAACCCTGAGTAGGAAAGACAAAACAAACCTTTTTAGTTGAGTTGAAGATTACTGAAAACATAGCTATATAATTTTGTCAGCAGCATAGACCTGATTTTCATAACAATCTTTGAAGTAATAAAAGGAATAAATAAAACCCAGTTGCTATCATCTGTGCTTCAGAGGATTGCAGTGTAACCTAAAAAAAATAGCCATTTGAAGTTCACTTAGGTCTCATAACCTTGAGGTAAGCATACTTGTTTAGACCATGGTTATCCTGATATTACAGTTGTATTCTTCTGCGGTCATCCTGTAAAACAAGAATTTGTTGATAAGTTTTCCTACAAAATCTGGTTAGATTGCATAAACTTTTGCAAAAAGGGACATTAACATCAAAGGGTGAAGAACATCTTTGACTTCAGTCCAGGACATCCTCTTCAGCAGACTTGTGGAGACAGAAATATCATGGCTATAGTAAGTACAGAGCTCTATTCATTTTCTTTTTATTTCATGGATGCATAACATTTAGTTATAGCTGCTATGGATGTGAGAGCAAAATTTTAAATTTATTTCTAATAGTTTTCAAATCAATTCTTTGCATCTGACTTCCTGCTTTTGGGGGCATGTAGAACCCTCTTGTTTTAGCTCCATCATATAAACTGGTTTGTATGTGCCTCAAAATTCAAAATTAAGGAAGAGAAGATGGCTTCTTTTAAGGACAACCTGACAAATTATTTTGTGTATCTGGAGGAATTCCACAGTCAAGTATTAATGTGACATTGAGTAAGAAATGGGAATGGGTAGCACCTTCTAATTAGACTTTTCAGAAAGCAGTTTTGTTGTCTTATTTTGATTCAGCAGGACTTTGTAACTAAAAAGATAAAGGGATTTTTTTCTGTCTGAATCGTCAGTATAGTTCAAGGAGAAGTGTGGTATGTTTAGCTACATTTGGAGCTAACATTTTTTAACTTGTATTTAAGGAGCCCAAATATATGTGGAACCTTTTGTTTGCAAAACCCTACTTTAGAATTTGCACAGCAAGCACACTCTTCTGGTATGATTCAGTGTCTTGCTGCTTTCACAAAAGGTTTGGTTAGAGCCATTGCATATGTAAATATGTTGAACACAGAACTTTTGCTCTTGCCAAATGCAGCTTGAAAATAAACAACAATTTACAGTCCCACTATTTTTATTTGATTTTGATTAGTTGGACAAAATTGCTTCCAGAAGTCCCTGCTTGCCTAAATTATGTTGGAAGGCTGTGATTTGTGTCGGCTGTGATTTGTGACTTATCCACTGGAGGTCACTGTTCTGCAGAAAACCGGAAAAGGCACCACAGGAAAAACACACATAGTGTTTCTACTCAGAGCTGCATGGAGAGGTTCTCTTCCCTCATAGTTACGAGGTGAGATCCACCAAACTGCAGGTGCGATTCATCTCACTGTGTGTGACGGAATGGGGGACACACGGCCCACTTATCTCTCATTTCCCAGGTAGCACATTCCAAATACCAGATAAAAAGGGGAAAGGTGAGGTTAGCAGAAGAACCTTGGAGAGTAGGGCAGTAAGAAATAAATGTTCTTTTTGAAAGAAACTCTGTATACTAGTAAGACTTTGTGTACACTTTTTGCCTAAGCTGGCTTTACCGAAGTGACTTCTAGCAGATGGAAAACTGATCATGGGTCTCTGCTGTGATTGACAGAGGCACAGATGAATGCATTCTTATTTAACCTGACTTGCACTTTCTTTTGTTTATTGATTTATATCACAGGCTAATCAGTCACTTTAAAGAAGGTTTTTATTACCAACTTGCTACCACCTGCTAAGGATCAGGGATCAGAATTCAAGTGGATAGTCAAAATAAAGTTTTTTAAAAGGCTAAAGGGTAGGGACGTAGAAAAGGATGTCAGGTATTATGCAAATACAGGCAGAAAGCCTTAGGAAATTTTTTTTTTGAACCATTCTTCTTAAAGCTGTTTGGATTAAACTGTGTTTTCATTTTTAACCTTTATTGTCTTTGATTAAAACTGCTTCTGAAGTTACTTTGTATTTTGAAATGCTTATGCTGGGGGGCCATCCTCTTCGTTGTTATTTAGGCCTGTGGCAGTTTGAGCCACATTAGAAATCTAAAATCCAATTTTTAGGCTTCTTCCCACCCCTTCCCACAATTTATCCTAACACTGGAGAGAAACTTTCAGGCCAGAGACTTCTGTAGGGGAAGGGGGAAGTATATACATTTATTTACACAAATAAATACTATGCAAACTAAAGGCAACTATATATATATATTACATTACTATCAGTCAGTCCTTTCAAGCCCCTCCTTTAACTTTAGTCCAGGAGCAGCCTTTAAGGCTGATATGTAACACAGTCTGCAGTGGGAGTGTTCTGGCCTCCTGAACATTCCCTCCTCACCAAGTTCCAGAGTTGTTTGTTGCAGTCTCTCCTCATGAAGTCCGAGAAGATAGCTTTGAGTCACTACTCTTCTGCTGCTGGTGATTTCTCCCTCTCGGTGTCTCACCTCTGTTCATAGGCTGCTGTACTGCAGCTTATCAAGCATCCACATTCTGGAATCTTCATTCCTCCACATCAGTTCTCAGCTGCCCCGAGTCAGCTTCGGCAGGTAGCTCCCGAGCTCTTGGTTTGTCTCCAATTTTGCCTGGGACTCTTCTCCCGAGCGCCGGGCCTACCTCCACGGCCCGTCCACTTGGCTCAGCTTCAGGGCTGAGCCTCTCCTCCACTTACAGTGGAGGGAAAGGAAAAAGCCCCCCTCTACAGCTTCACTGCAGAAAAGGAGGGGGGAGAGGGCTTGGCTGCAAAACCTGCCTCTCTTCTCTTACCTCAGGTGCTGCGAATCTCTTCCTTCACAGCACACACTCCAAATGCTGACTCTAAGTCTAGCTAAAGGCTGAGTTGGGGGGTCACAGGGCTCCCCCTCTCCCCCCCCGGAGGGGAAGAGAGGGAGCCCAGCCAGCCCCTGGCCTTGTCCACCTACCCGCAGCAGATACCAACAGCAAAACAACCAAGACAGAACTGCCAGCTGTTTCCAGTGCAGTATACGATTTTGAGCAGAAGCGAACAATATGAGTGGTGATTGGCTCTCCAGGGAGCACTGTCCTGGCACCCAATCACCTCTGAGCCCCCCAGCTTCTCAGGGGGGCCAATCTCAACCTATGACAGGCCACATCACTGTCTTTATTACTGGTTGTGGTAGTTTGGTCTAGGCCTTCCTTGGTGACCAGTTTGTAGCCAAGGAAGGGCCCAGATTTACCCAGTATTCCCTACGATTTTTACATAAGCCAGGCTATAAGAAGAAAGGAGGAGAGGCCTTTGTTCTCTTTCCTTCTGGTGGTTTGGAGGTGCAGGTTCCCTGTTGTTGAGTCTGTCGTGTTGGGGAGCGAGGCCTGGTGAGGCCTTGCCGACCTTGGGAGGCGGAGGTTGCCGGTGATCGTCTCGGAGCGACTCTCGGTTGTCCCAAGGAGAGTCGTGGGATATTTCTTTGCTAACTCTTTAGTTACTAGATCTCGGGCTACTGACTGGGATATATATATATATATATTTTATTTTGGTTTTGTTCCTTTTCCCTTCCCCCTTCCCTTTCCCTTGTGAAATTGTATATATTTGAAATTGTATATAATTGTAATATAAGTGTAAATATGTTTATATCTATCACTTTAGCTGTCTCTCTCTTGTTTCGGGTTTTCTTGGTTGTTTTTTCTCCCTCTTCTCCCCGAGGTTGGTGGGGGGACTTCTTGTGGTAAGGTTTGGAGACTTGGCAGGAAGCCAGCTTCAAACCATATCACTGATGTCTGGAATTATGCAAAACTAAGAAATCTGATAAAGGGCTGCATTTATTTTTAATTAAACTTTAACATTCTAGACTGAATGTTTTTCTAGACACCTAACTCTATGTCTGACAACCCTTGAAAATGTGTTGCTCATGCAAGAAAACCAACAATAGAGAATGTGAGATTGTCTACATGAGAGAAATTCTGAGGTTTGGCCAATTCTGTGACTGGTTAAAAGGTCCAATACTCTAAACACGTCTATTCCTCTTGCTTTTGCACTTCCTCTTCCTCCTGGTATCAGCAGCTGGGGGGGATGCCGAGGAGGAACCAGCAGATAATCCCCTGCCCAACCACTTACATGAGGGTATATGGGGAGGAAACTGAAGCAACTTCCTTGAGAAAGTTTCCTTCCACTCTTACTGCCTAATATCTCCTTCCCCCATTTTAGACTCTCTCTCTTCTCCTCTCCCTGGTGCCAGGGTGCTGCTGAGCCACGCCCATGCTCTCAGGCTTGCACTGGCTCCAGCCAGCCCTGGGTACTTCCATGACAGGGTGAGTCTCAGCAAGGGGGAACACTCAGGGCACAGGCAGGGCCATTCCTGAGGGGTACAGGGGAGGGGTCTGAGGGACCTCACAAGGGCGGACTGTTCCCAGCTGCAGAGATCCTTTCCCCACACAAACTGCTGGTGCTCAGCTCCCAGTAGCCCTGCCCTGCTCCTCCGTCCTTCATCTCTACCCCAGTCTCTACTGATTTTCTCTCATACACAGGTTCTAGCAACTTCCCAGCCAGAAACTTCCCTGCTTGTTTGCCAGCCTCCCAACTGGCTGGCTTGCCTTACAGAGATGGCCACCAGGTCCCCTCAACATCCCGCTTGCCTCAGACCAGAAGTTGGTTGCTGTAAACTCAGCCATCACAGCTACATACACATCACCTACAATTTAGCTCATTAAATTGTCTCTCCAAGCCACCAGTGGAGATCAGTTGTGGCACTCAGTGAGGCAAAGCTGTGGGATGTGAGAAGCAGTGGTGCTGCGGCCTGCTCTGCAAGCCCCCTTAGCCCCTGCTTCGTGGGGCTGTGTCTGTCTGCATCAGGACATCTTCACCACCATGGTGAATGCTATGCCTTCCAGAGTCTACCCTGGTGCCTGTGGGGGGTTTAGTGAAAGCTCAGTGTTCCTGTTTATTTTGTCCGGAGTGTTTTCTGCTGCTGCACAGCATTCAATTCCCCCTGAACTGCTGCTGCTGAACCCAGGCAGGCAGAACACATTTTTCAGGAAGTCTAGGCCTGCCTGCAGACACAAAGATAATGCAGCCTGACACTGCCAGAAGCTTTGGTTCTCATCGCGTGCTGTAGCAATTGCAAGCAGAAGATCCTGACAGTGTTCAGGAACATCACGTTTTTACTGAAAATCAGTTACTTTTCAAAGTGATGCTGTAAAAGGATCACTGCCATGGTGAGGAGGTACTTCTCTCCAGATTTCCTGACCCTGGGGAGTGGCACAGCATTGTAAGGCAGGACTTCAGACTCTTTGACTTGCCTTCTGATGAGGTTTATGTACTCAAAATATTACTCTGTAGCTTTTTCAGTACAAGTATGTATAGAGATTATCAATGGAGAAATATGTCATTTTTGCTGCTGTGTCCAGTCTTTCACCAGGAGACAAAAGCCTTGTGAGAGAGAGGAGAAGGAGGCAGGAAGCAAAATTGCACTGAAAAATGTTCCTAGCATTTACTTTCTCTTATCAATATTCCACGTATTTGCGTGCATTGTTATATTAAAGAACAACACTATTCCAACTTACAAAGAAGATTTTCAAGTTTGCTTTAATGATATTAATGTACCTGTCTAAACGTGGTCTCCCACATACTTCCCTCTACCTCCTTCCCCATATATACCTGGTTTAAAGATTATGTGCTCCAGCCAATCATTTCTGCCTTTTCTTCTCCCATGCTCACTCACCACTAATTCTGTTATGCCATCTCACCTAATCTAGGATCATGTAATATACATAAGGTCAGTGAAATTAAGTAGGTTAAAAACAATATGAAAAGAAAAAGATTTTTTGTGTATGTGTGTATCATGTCACTTCAGTTTACACCAACTACAGCAGCAGTATTGACACAGCTGTGAAGGTAACAAGATTCCAACTATGATAATCTTTATGACCACTGAATTGGAAAACCAGAGGTGTTCAGATGGAAGTGCCTGACTTTTCAAACCTTTTCAGAGCAAGGGACAACATCAGTAGATGAAAACAAGGCAACTCAAAAAGGTGGACTAGCACTTTTAGCAGAGAAACTCAGTGATACTCACAGAATCACAGAGTCACAGAATCCTTGGGGTTGGAAGGAACCTCTGGAGATCATCTAGTCCGAGCCCCCTGCCAGGGCAGTGTCACTTAGAACAGATGACACAGGAGCTCCTCCAGGTGCCTTTTGAATGTCTCCAGGGAGGGAGACTCCACAACCTCCCTGGGCAGCTGTTCCAGTCCTCTGCTTAATGCTATGTTTCTCCCCATGTTGAGGAGGAACTTCTTGTGTTTTAGTTTATGACCACTGCTCCTTGTTCCATTGCTGGGCACCTCTGAAAAGAGTCTGTCACCATCCTCTTGGTACCTACCTTTGAGATAGACGTATTAATGAGATATTCTCTCAGTCTTGTCTTGGCTAAACAGGACCAGCTCCCACAGTCTCTCCCCTTAAGAGAGATGTTCCAGACCCCTCATCATCTTTGTGGCCTCCACAGGACCCACTCCAGTACCTCCTTGTCTTGGAGACTAGAACTGAACACAGTAATCTAGATGTGGCATCACTAAGGCTGAGAAGAAGGGGAAGATCACCTTCCTCAATCTGCTGGCCACACTTTTCCCTCATGGCCAGTGTTCTGACTCTTTTTCTTTCCTTTTTTCTTTCTTTGGTTTTTGATAAATTTAATTCCAAAGCAGGCACTTTTCCCAAAGGTACATGGAAACAGTTGAATAAATGGCCTGATAAAAAAACATATTTAAAGTTGCAGTCATAAAATTTGCACCTTGTAACAATAACACACCATTGCTGTGCTGGGATTTAGGTGCTGGCTGTGTTCTACACAAAGAGTGTATGGCATGTTTATAGGTGGCATGTTTATAGATAAGAAAACATTATCATTCTTGATATTCTGGTCTTGCTTGAACATTGTCTTGTGATTTTGTTGCTGCTGCTGTTGTTTTTGTGAAAAATAAAAAAGGCAAAATAACTTCACATTGATTTCAGGCTTGAGGCTCCTGTTCCTGAAAGTATTCTTCATATTCTTTCTTCACCTAAAAATAGCTAATTTCTCTATATCACTCACAAACATCCTTCAAAGAAATACATGGAAAAAAACCAGAGAAGTTTCAGGAAGCTGCTGCACCTGCAAGTGTAAAATGAAGCATATGGGCATTGCAGATGGGCAACTTTCACAGCAATTTCACAGCATAAACTGTTATTTTCATTGTGTTTTTTGCAATTTTTATTCTCAGCAGCATTCTGTCAGTCAGGGTTATACTTATTTTTGTGTACAGGATAAAAGAGAAGACAGCAGGAACTGTCTAGCATTCAGAGCTGCAGAGATGAGCTAGTTCTTTGATCGTTGCATGATTTGTCTAGAGCTGATATTGTGACCAAACACTTGCAGTGGTTTTTACCCATGCAAAATGACTGTATTGCTACAGTTAGCATCTTAAAACAGTCAAACTGTTTTAAGACTGCCAGATATAATAGCAAGCCACAAAGTCTAATCTGCCATAATACTAATAATAAATGCTTTGTCATCTGTGATGATTGTTTATTTTCACAAAAAAATATTATTTTATAAATAAAATATAGTGTTTAGCAGAATGAATAGCATAAAGAACTGCATTTCTACCACTACGAAAAAAAACCATTATGTTATGTAACCAAAAAATCAGTTATCTTTGGCATTAACAGTGTCTTTAACTCAAATAAGTACCATCCAGCACTCTAATAAACTTCTGAACATACTAAGATAGAAGTTTTAGTAAAATAAAGCTGGAAACATAATGCACTTCCAATGTTTTACTTTGACAACCCAAATCCTTTCAAAAATACTAAGAAGTTTGTGCAGAATAACCTTTTATTAATTCAAAGACACACAGCTTTTCTTCTGCAATCTCATCCCTGTGCAGAGCTCCAGCAACTTCACTGAGCTGTATTTTGTAGAGGGTTCCGCCTTTGTGGTTTGGGTTTACCTTCAGCACAAATACAAGTTTAGAATTTCTTGTGAAGCTTATTTTCTCAATGTCGGCTTTCCCATTCTATATCATCCTTCCAACTCTGACTTGTGTAACAAGCACCCTTCTGAAGAAGGACAGAAGAAATGTATGATCATAGTTTTTAAAAAAGATGTATCTCCACATTGCAGAAGTTTTAAAAAACTGGCAAGCAGAATCTCTCGAGATCCTGCTGGCATAGGTCATAGCAAATAAACACGTCAGCCAACACGTGATGAGTGGGAATGTATGCAGGATTCTTAGTGGGAGCAGGGCACTAGACTTGAGGTCAGCCCAATCTTTATGCCTGTAATTGCCACACATGTTTCCTTAGCTGCTATTCTGTAAAGACTCGAGCTTGTGTGCACCCATAGAGCTTCACGGGACTACACAATATGGGGAAAATGCAATACTTTTGAATATCACATGGTGCATACTGCTGATGGCAGCAGCCAAGCAGTCTGAACACACTTTAGTTCCCTTTTCCTACACCACTTCTTGCCTAATATCCTGAAGAGAGCAGTTCTCTCTACTGTTCATGATAATGAAAACCACAAGCGACATTCTTATGCAAACCCTCTGAGAGAAGCAGAACTCCTCTTAGTGAACAGACCAGGCTGTTAAGGTAAAACATCTGTGGATTGTCACATTGAGGGAGCTAGTTTTTCTGCCTGTATCAAAATACTGGAGACCTTTGGGATATCCAGGTAAACTGTTGTATAGTTTGTCTTCGAAATAAATGTGCAAAGTTCCAGAAGAAATAGAATCAGTACAAGATATTACATATAATTTAATTAACTGGAAATTTATTTGTAGATTCTACTTGGAATTCATTTAGGAGCTGAAAAATGCTAAGCTGACATAACATACTTTTGTCTCTCGAAGTTTTGTTTGCTGAAATTTTACTGAGTGGTCCTAATTTAAGTCAACTTTGCATTTTGAATAATGGCATAAATGGTATCACTCAATGACAGTTATTTTTTTGTTATTCCTTTTGCGTTATTTGTGCTTTGTTGCTTTGTGGGTGGGATATTTTTGTAATATACCATATTCTGGACTGAGATATCACTCTGTGTACTTTGTTAGTAGTTGGTCATGGAAAATATTTTTGTTTCCAGCTATGAGTCTAAATGGTACTCAATGCCCTAAAATTGCATGAAATTTCCTTTAAAATCATCTGGGATTCTGAAATTCTAGAAATAAGGGTAGGAACTTTACAGTGACAGGAATCCGAGTTTTTCTTCCTTGAATCTTAGAGCTGTTACATCCACCTTAGTGGGATAACCAGTGAAATAAGACAT